CAAAATGTGATTTATCTAGGCAGCAATGCGAAGGTGAGCGAACCACAGAACGAAAGAGGATCAGTGAAGAAGATAGTGGTCGCAGTGGTGGAGGCAGTGGACTGGCCATTGCTGCATTGCCTACAGAAGAGAGAATCGCTGCGCACTCACACTCCATCGCTACAGTGCTACCGATCGAGCCATTCAACTTTTCTTCAACTTTGACCTTTCCCCCTCCCCTGACTGTGCTGCGACTGGCGTGTGTAGTCACGTCAGTGGTGGTGCCCAACGCTGACCAAAGGTCCCCCAGGGTCAGTTCCTCTTCAGAAAGAAAAACCAACAAAGTTAGTCAGCGGTCGTGTTGCTGAAACTGAAGAAGCAGAGGAAGGAGAAGTAAAAGGTGAAGACAAGTTGACACTGACTCAATTTGCTCAACTGCCTTTTTTCTTCTAAAAACTGGCCACCAAAATCAGTGTTGGTTGTGATGGGCGCATTGGGAGTGCCTCCACCAGCACATGGCATCAGCATCAGGTAGTGCAATGGAAAGTGCATGCATGCTGTTGCCGGCTCACACTGGCAACAACAGTAACGTGCGCCATAAGGCAAACAATATTGCCAATATTAAACATTCACAGGCACAACAAACAACCATTGCCTGTGAGTCAGCCTGCAGAGAGAGAAGAGGAGGAGGATTCAGAAGAAACGAAGAACAAAGGTAGGCAAAGCAATGGTGAATGAGCAACAGAATGCACCAAACACAGCAGCAGCAGCTTTCTACTCTACCTGTGGAGTTTAATTGCAGCACTGCGAAGTGTGAGGGTGAGGGCGAGAGTAGAGGCACAGGTGGAGGGTAGAGCGAATAAGACCAGTTCTGAGTGCTCTCTCGTGCTCTCCAACAACGCTGATGGCAGAATAGGGTATTCAGTGCTACCCTCGGTCATTTCCTTTTTCTTTCTCTCTCCCCTAATAAAAAGTGGGCAAAGTAAAGTCACCGCTGCAGCAGCTGCAGCCACCGAACATGACTCGACAACTGGTTTGCTTGTGTGTGTGTGTTGCAGTTTCTGCAGCAACAACAGCAGGAGTAAAAAAGCAAAAAAGTAACAGACAGAAAAGACTTTGGCCTCTCACTGACTGGGCAGCAGCTTCAGCAACGTTGAGCACATTGTGTCCCCTCTATTCTAGGCACGCACTGCGTTTTTTCATTGTGACCCTGCGACTTTGCGCGAAACAGCAGGAATTACCATACAACTTCTTAATGGTGCAGGAAGAAGGAGGACGGGAGAATATAATAAATGAATTACTAGAGAATAGAGAAAATAGCAATGAAAGAAAAAGATGACCATTGTGACAAAAGCGGTGCTGTAAGGAGGTGGACGAAGGCATAAGGCATTTACACGTTTTTTGCCTGAGGCCAAACAGTGCACTATCTTAATTAACAGCAGTAGTTAAGTAAAAGGCTACTAGAATCAACAAGTGTAAACTGTTGGTGTCAACTGGCGGTAATGTCCAAAACTGCAGGGCATACCGAACTAACTAGTCTCCGTCGGAAACGTTGATAGGGCACGTTCACACTTCTCTACCCAATTATCATTGGCAATCTTTTTCTGTCCATCGAACGTTTGTGCTCTGAATGTAGTGCAATTGCATTTGCCTTTCTCTTGTGCCTTGATTAACAAAAGAATGCGAGCAAATTGCAGTCAACTGAAAGTGGACGAAGAGAGAAGGAAGCCTTTTGCCTGTGTCGTGAATTTAGATGCAAATCAGAGACACCAGCAACAAGTCTCCTGAAATAGCCAGCAAATATCTGTACATACATCAGACTATGCTCAAGCAACGTTTTAGCCACACTACAAAGCTCATTGCTACTCATTGTCAAATTGATAAATTGAAGGATTATGCTTGCGCTAAGATTAAGCGGTCGCTCTTTCTATCGCTCCTTTTCTCTTCTACTCTTGATAATTGCCCGTGGTCACACCGTTTGCCAACATACTGACTGAAAGTTTTGAAGTTTTCGCTGCAAGTACTAAAGTTGAAAGTTGGCGGTTCAATCAATCACCACTGCCTTCACCACCATCGCCTCAGCCACTCCGCGTTATACTCCAAATATGTTTGAGCAATTAGCAGTGACGTTTTCTCTCCACTACACGGAATGTTCTTTTGGCATAGTGCACAGAAAACCATTTATCATCAGCAAGTTTGTGAGTCAGTTGGCAGACGTCTCAGTGAATCGATAATCAGCATCAACAATCCCAAACCCAACCACCACTACCACAAGTGTCGAGCACTTGTCGAGCAGCCAAATCAATTATCACCATACTGCCAAATACACTTGACATTTGCACAAGTGTTTTCGTCTTCCTTCAGCTACACGGTAAATCAGTCAGCCAAACAGCAGAAGCACCCAAATCGAATAAAGCATATCTGAACACAAAAACGGGAAAAATTTGCTAATTTTGCAAACATACAAGCACTCATTTGACAGTGAAGGCGAAATTCGATTCTTTGTCGCTCAAAGTCGCCGCCGACAAAGTGGCGACTGTTATAAATTGAACTGATTTTTCGATGAAAATAACCATCAAAGAAAAGGAACAGAAAATTGTCAGCGTCGCCTTGCAGGCGTTCTAAATTGGTGCGAGTAAGTGGACTGCACACACACCGGTTACAAACGACCATTGTGTCCGCCACTGATTACAAAGTAACCGAAATAGAATCTCCTACTACTACTACTCGCCTGGGTGCTTCGAATTGACTGACTGACTGTGCCACTGACGGTGCATCACCGGCACACACACATAGACATTGCAAGCAGAGTACAGTACAGTTTAGGGGAGAATAAACGGCACACCAGCGCAGTTTAGTTCAAACACGATGTGCAAATAAGTCAACAATCGCCAGCGTCGTCGGTGGCGGTGAAGGCGACTCAGGCAGGCGAATCACTGATTCGAGACGAGCGAAAAGGTGAGGAAAACAATGAAAAGCTGAAAATGAATGAGATCGACTAAGGGAGAAAGAGAGTCTTATGAGCAACAGTTGGGCTTAGAAGAAGACGAGTGGGTGCCAGGTGAGTTTGCATTTTCACAGGGTGCTTCTGATCGGCTGATGTTCTGATGAAAGTAGCTATTCGCATCAGGCTTAAAACTGTAGATGCAGGAAACTAGTTAGCCCGTTTGACCGTTAGTGAATTTGCTTAAAAAGATCATATAAAGAAAAAGGAGAAAGAAAGGGGGTTCTTGTAGATGCGACCACCGATAGGATGGGCACCTCTGCTTTTGTCGTCCTCTTTGTTGTCTTCCTCTTCTTAATTGGCCTGGTAATAGAGATCTACTGAAAGGAATGATGAGAACGACGATGATAATGGTCGTAGTGGTGGCAGTGAATACAACACCAACACAAACAATGCACACAAACAGCACTGACACCATCGACATGTCCATTTACCGTGCACCAGTGGAGTCATTAAAAAGGATGAAGCCCAGAAAGAAAAACGATGCTGCTCAGACATGCGACACACCTGAAGGAGACGGTCGGGAATTAGACGGGATGGGGTAAAGACTAAAAACTTTGCCGTTGCTGCTGCTCTTCTAAATGAACTCTAATTATGCTAATAGTGCAGTGGCGACCACATGTGCTGCTGCTGCCGTTGTTGTTGCTGATACACCATCAGAGGATGCTTAACAAGTGCAGGCATTCTTGGAGGGCATTACTTTGGCTGCCACGGAGAGACACTCCGACAAAGCTAGTTAGGCAGTTAGAGAAACACTTGAGCCGATACAATTGAGCAGTGTCTAATAGACTCGAAAAAAGAGTTCGAAGTAGTCAGGTAATGCTGCCGCCGTTGCTGGAAGAAGATAAAGCCGCAGCACAGCAAATTACACTGCAGGCTAATGAAAGTTGAAGTGAAGTGCAGAAATGCATGCGATGTTGGATATCGATTACACTGCCGTTCTTGTTGATGATGATGCGGCTGCTGTTGCTGTTGCTGCTCAAACTGATGCATACTACAAAAGCACTTCAAACAGGAGAAAGAGAGCGTTCGAAAGCAAATTGAGTAATTACAAATTAATCGACTTTACTGAAAGGGGCAGCTCTACTGCAGCAGCGACTTTGACTAAAAACTAGACTACTTGCCTTCCTCTATTTCCATTGCTTGTTGGTCACCTGTGTACACAAGTTTAATAGCGCCAAAATGTGCAGACACAATTATCTGATTAAATTGCTAATTGCTAGGCATTAGCTGCTTACAGAGTAGTTCCTCGTCGAGTCGTTTGTACATCAATAAAGCTGATTAGATGAAACTCTCGCTCAGTAGTGCTGAACAGGTAAAGGCTGTGGCGCAAAAAGATAGAAATGGAAAGACTTCTTACCACACGCAAACCTTCACTCTGACCTTTGACATAGAACACTGGCACTTGAAACATGACAGACTCGGGCGCAAGAGTCGAAGTAAATGGGTAGTCAACACATCGAGGGGCACAGACACAATGGTGATCAGAATCACATGCAAATTTTGCGGTCATCAACATGGCTGTTGAGCGAAAGCGCAATTACTGCCGCCTTGAGGAACACAAAAGCCAGAGCATGAGAATCTTCCCTCTCCGGCGGTCGCTGTCATTACAGTGGACAACAGTGGAAAGTGACTTGCTCAGAGAGGGAGTGAAAGAGGGACAATAATTTGCTATTTTCAGTTAGCTGTTTCGTCACACACACAATGTGGATTCTTGAAATGGAAAAAACAACAATAGGCAGAAGGGCCTTTCTTTCATCAGCGGTTCTTTGCAGTTATTCACTACCTACCGTCACTATTTCAATTCATCAAACTGATTCGTAGAGCTTCTTCACGCGAGCCAGCAGCTCCTTTGATGCGTAGTGCTCAGGATACAGGTTCAATGACTTTTGCGCAAACTCCAAACTCAGGTCAAAGTTGCCGGAGTTTTCTGCCAGCAGAGCGAGGTTGTAGTGCGGTTCATAGCTAGGTAAAGGCAGGTAAAAATGGAGATGTCAACAACAACAACTGTTAGAACTTACAGAAATGATCCCGAGTTGACGGCCGACTGAAAGTAGGACTTTGCCTGCTGCACATTGATGGTGTTCGCCGAGTGTGCCCGGTCTTGTCCGCCCTTGGTCACCTCGAGAACGCCCAGGTTGTTGTACGCCTCTGCGTGGTCATTGTTGGAGGTAATGGCCAGTCGGAAGCAGTACAGCGCAAACTGGCGGTCGCCCGAGCCGAGCGCCACGTGGCCAATGTTGTACCAGATGTCGGCGATCATCTCGTCGGTGTCGGCGAACATGAGCGCTCGCTCAAAGCAGGTGACCACCATGTCGTACTGCTGCGCGTAGAAGCAACACAGGGCAATGTTGTTGTACATCTCCGCCTTGAAGATGCCCATCTGCAGGAGGCGGCGGTAGTAGCGCAGGGCAATCTCCGGCTGGTCGCCGTAGAACTCATTCAGCGCAATGGAGGCAATTGCCTCAATGTCGATGGCGTCGTAGGAGAGGATGGATCGGAAGAGACTGATTGACTCGTCCATCTCGCCCATCGTCTCGTGAATGCGTGCTGCGTAACGCAGCAGCAACGTCTCATTGGGGTGACGCTCCAGGCCTAGCTTGTAAATGTCCAGCGCTGCCAGCGGCTGGTCCAGGCGGATGTACACCTTGCCCAGCCAGACAAAAATGTCAACGGAGACATCGGCGTAGGCGAGCGCCTCACGGAAGTTCTTCTCTGCGTCGCGAAGCAACGCCAGCTTGTAATAGCACTTGCCAATGTGGGCCTGTGATTGGGCTAAATTGATTAGTTTATCGATTCTTATATACTTTCTCTGCTTTTCTCAAAGTTCTCACCTTCCACCACCAGTCCTTGTGCTTTGCCTCTGCAGCCGCTCTCGTCGCCAGATTGAGCGCCACCCGAATGTTGCCCTGGTTGTGGAAGATGTACTCAAAGAGCGACTTGGCCACCGTCTCCATCTTTGCGTACTTCTCCACATTGAGGCGCTCCACGTTGAGGAAGCTGCCACCGGACTCTTGCAGCGCCAGCAGTGAGGCCGTGCCAATGCGAGCGTACATTGCCGAGGAGCTGGTCATCGGCCGGGCGGAGTAGCCGGTCCTCGGGGCGGTGAGGGCGTTCTCGATGGAGCCGTGCTGCTGTGAGTTGGTTCCCGGGCGGATCATGCCGCTGAGCGGGCGGCCAGCCTGCGTCACCGGGCGAATCGCCTGACTGGTGGACTGGCGGGCAATGCTGGTGGCCGCCGTTCGCAGCGTCGTTCCCGGCCGAGCCGTCTCGGCAATTCGATTCTCGTCCATCAACGTCTCGGCGATGCCGTCCTCGTCCGTCTCCAGGTCGTCCACGTACGTCTGCTCGGTCAAACAGCGAAGTTTGAGGCACCAGAAGAGCTGAAAGAAAAGGTCGGGTTGTTATTTTCAGTTTTAGTAATCAGCAACCGTTGATCAGCACCTGGTTCTGTGGATCAATTTCTATTTCTGCGTTGCAAATCTCGATGCAGCGGTCATGGCGGCGGCGGCGGTAGAGTGATAGGGCGTAATGCAGAGGGTCCATTTCTTTGATAAGGATTCGGGGCAACTTCGCTTGGATGTTGGTTGATGAACTACGCAAAAGTACCGTGACAAACAAATGAACATCATTGCCATGGAAACGGTTTTCAAGTTACATGCGACATACAGTAGCGCTACCTGGTGGTGAATAGTTAAAGTAATCCTTTTATTGAAAAGAACAGAATCAGAGTAAAAGTGCATGAAGTTAAGTTAAAGTGGCTTTTCTGGTCATCATCATTACACCTGAAAAGCTGTAAAAGTTGTACAAAGACGCAATTAAGAATATGATCTCAACGTTAAACAGTGATCGGTGTTAGATAAAAGCATGAAAAATTTGAAGAATGATAAAAGCTTTTACTATGGCGAGTACATGTTCCTCACTTCATCACCAGACAGCTCTTCTTTGCATGATTTCCAGCTTAAAACGCTGCATTCAGTGAGGTCTTCTTTGGCGGTGAAATACGTAGTGTTCTCAAGCGTGTTGTTATTCTCATGGTCAGTGGTAATGCTAATGTCTTGACTGACATTTGTTGTGATGTTAACCGGTGACACAACGATGCATTCATTCGAAGAGATATTGATTGTACTGCTTTGAGAAAACTTGTTGGCAGTGTCTCTCAAACAATTGAGTAACGTATCATCTAAAGAGTTTTCACTGCTTGAACCCACGGTTTTATTCAGAATGATTGTATTGTTTGAAGAATAATTGGTGGGAGTGTTTCTCAGACACTTGAGCAACGTGTCATCTAAAGAGTTTTCACTGCTAGAATCCACGGTTTCATTCAGAGTGACTGTAGTTGAACCAGCCAAGCTTATTGACCGTTCATCTTCTTTCACCTCAGCAGTTGACGGTAATTTGCCATAGACGCCCAAACGCCGAGGGTTGGGCAGTGAATAGGAGATGTTGAGGAGAGAATCATCGAGAAAGGTAGTTTCATTTCCCACTGATGACACGTCGAATAAGTTGACGGCACATTCTTGAATCTTCGCCGGATCGATTTTTGTAGCTCGCTTAGTAAGATATCTGTGTGGAGAGTTAGACTCCATGGTGTTTTTTGTGACTTGATGGGCGTCTACGAATGTTGACCAGTTGCAGACTGGTAACCGACTGGTGGCGTATGTTTACATGAGAACTGCTTAT